GTGTCAATGCAAATATAACTCACAGCTACAACAGGATCACAGTGTTGTTGTTTTTTTAGTTTGCTTCCTTGTTGGAAATGTGTTTTGTCATCTTGACCTTTTGAAATGAGTTGAATTATTCTCTAACACAAATAAAGTAATGAGACAGTATCTGTAACTCTGCATCACCTGAGTACAACGAGTTACAACAGTGTGAAGGGACATCAGGATAATTAATTAGAATTAGAGAGACGGGAATTGAAGAAGACAAATTGTGTTTCTTCAGTGATTCTTTCTTCTGGTTTGTTATATTGTTACTTGTGAATGTAAAAGTTTGGCAAAGTTAAAAAGCTCAAAGTTTGTGGTAAAGGGAGAAAACTCCTTCACGAAGACATTTGGAGCTAAAACCAAGTGTCTGAGACAGAGGAGCTGCAGCGATGGACAGTCCGAGGACAGTGATTCTGAACATTAGAGCACAAAAACATTTTCAAGTAACACAAAGTAAAGAACAAGAGTAATATGTGTCTCCTTTATCTGAGCTGTATTCACACTGTGTCCCTCAGATATGGCCGCTGTTGCTGCATTACCCAAAGAGACCTGTTCTCTGGAGAAGCAGTTAACATGCTCCATCTGCTTGGACTTGTTTGAGGATCCCGTCACTACAGCTTGTGGACACTCCTTCTGCAAGAATTGCCTGAACATCAACTGTAAGTTCAATGACACAGTGTGCCCCCTGTGCAAGAATCCTCTGAGCAACACCGCAGCTGTGAACATCGTCCTGAGAGACATCGCAGAACAGCGGAAGTTGGAAAAGTCTGAGAAGAAAAACAAAAGCGTCTTCACCGGAGAGGACGGCGAAGTGGCCTGCGACATCTGCACAGAGAAAAAGCTCCCGGCCGAGAAGTCCTGCCTGGTGTGTCTGGCCTCGTACTGTCCGACCCACCTGGAGAATCACTATTCGACCGAAAGGCTGAAGGGTCACAAGTTGGTGGCACCGGTGAAGAACCTGGACGACAGGGCCTGTCTGAAGCATGGGCGCCCCCTGGAGCTGTACAGCAAGAAGCAGCAGAGATGCATCTGCGTCCGCTGTCTGGAAGAGAGTCCAGAGGAGGTCGTCTCCAATGAGGACGAATGGGGGAAGAAGAAGGTGAATCATCGAGAACAGGTTTTCATCGTACGGCAGGATGAGGATGTTTGAAGTTATCGATGATGATTTGTTTTCTCGTTTGTTTCAGGTTGAACTTGAAAACGCCAGAACAGAGTTAGAGGCAAAAATTAAGAGGAGAGAAACACAACTGGACGAGCTCAATAAATCTGTGAGGAGCTGCAAGGTGAGACAAACACGACTGATCCTGGACACGAGGATTCAGAAGCCAAAAACTGGCTGAACGAGTTCAGTCTTTAATATAATTAAGTTGAACGGAGCAATTAAAAAATAATTATAGTGTCACACCAACAACTGATTGATTATAAGTTTCATGTCCCTTGAGGTTCTCAGTCTCTGATACTGTCAAAACCAAACCTGCCCCAGAACGATTATTGACAATGTGTTAAAGTGGCTGAACGAGGTTAGATTTAATTCTACAACTACACAGTTTGATTATCAAACTACTGAACTGAATGAAAAAGCCACTTAGCAACTTACTGTTTATGCTAACGTCCAGCAACACACAGAGCAAATGGTCCAAAGGCCAAAGTTGATTATTTCAGCGTACATTGAGGTAAATTCCGAACCAAAAACACTTCCTGTTGACTCACACGTGACGGAGAGCTATGTGGAAACGAGGCGTTAGCATTTCTTGAATCATCTCCGCAAGTCTGTTGTGTTCACATCAAACCACAAGCGTTTCACGGCAATTAATAATAAAACTGGAGGTCAAATGGACGATCCTCAATTTCCTTCCATTTTCAGGACCTGCTGGAGAATGAGTGGTGGGACATTGAGGCCGTGTTCAACGCCGTGCTCGCCATCGTGGAGGATGCCCAAGCGAGAGCTCTTCAGCCGCTGAAGGACCGGAGGCAGGTCCTGGAGAAGGAGGCAGAAAACCTCAAAAAGGATTTAGAAGCGGAGATCAGCCGCTTCAAGACGACCATCTCCGAGCTGGATGATATCAGTACACATGAGGATCACATCCATTTCCTGCAGGTGAGAGGGAATATTACGTGTTCCAGGAATGTGCCACTGAAGAAATGAAGTTACGCTCAGCTTGTCTGTCTTTTCATGTCTTTCTCTGTCTCAGAACTACCCGTCTCTTCAGGACCTGGAGGACATCAAGGACTGGGCCGAGGTTCAGTTGGACACGTCACTGTGTTTTGGGACGATGAGAAAAACCACAACACGTATGACAGAAAAAGTCCAACAGGAGCTGGAGAAGCTGACGTCCACCGGTAACAGTCAAATATATGATATATGATAAAAGCTCAAATCTTGACCTGATTGATCTGAAACTATTTGTTCGGCTTCACAGAACTCAAGAGGATTCCAAAGTTCACAGGTGAGTGACACAAAACAATATCCTCGAAGAAATAGACTTTTCTGTCTCGATGGCACAACAACGTTCGTCTCGTACTCGACAGTGGACGTGAAGCTGGATCCAACCACCGCGCACCAACGCCTCGTTCTCTCTGATGACGGAAAGGAAGTGAAAGACGGGGAGGAGGATCGGGAGGTCGATGAATCACCGGAGAGGTTCGATGTGTTCGGCAGCGTCCTGGGGCTCAACAGCTTCACCTCCGGGAAATCATACTGGGAGGTGAAGGTCGGCGACAAGGCCGGGTGGGACCTGGGCGTGGCCAGAAGTGATGCAGACCGCAAGGGGAAGCTCTCCCTGAAACCAGACGACGGCTACTGGGTGACCGTGCATTACGAGAACGACAAGTACGCGGCTCTGACCGCGCCGCCGCTCAGTCTCTCGCTGCAAGACAAACCGGAGAAGGTGGGGGTGTTCGTGGACTACGAGGAAGGCCTCGTGTCTTTCTACAACGTGGGGGCTCAGTCTCACGTTTACTCTTTCACCGGGTGTTCGTTCGGCGGAGAGCTTCTCCCGTATTTCAGTCCACACCGAAAGCAAGACGGTGAAAACGGTGATCCGCTGATTATTTCAGCTGTGAAACAATGTGAACAAATCATGGATGAGTCATGAAGAGTGTGGGGGGTTAAACGAGCAAATCAAACACATTCCATACTTTGGGTTACCATAGTTACTGTTTAGTTAGTTACTGCAAATAAAGATGGACGACGCGTCTCCACCTCGTCGCCATCTTCAGCTGGTGACGTAATTTGATTTAAAATCATGGCACCGCAATATCGTGGTCCCACCGGAAAACACGCTCGACCAATCCGTGTCCCATTCACAAACATGGAGGAGGTGGAGTTTATGACCTATTCTGTGGCCAGCCACCAGGGGGTGATCGAGATGTACTGTCTTTTGGGAGCTCTGGCGTCCTCCATTTCTATATATGATTTTTATCAAGTCTGTCATGTGATTAATTAAACCAACCAATGAACTTGTACCTTCTGGAGACAGATGCTACAGATTTTAATATTTTATAAAATGTCTGATGATCATTAAAATGCTTCTGTCACGACCTTGAGGCTGAAAAGACCAGAACCACTGTTTCCACATGTGAGACTCTTCTCTGTGAAATGATTCTCTGATTCAAATAAAAATACAAAAACATAAACAAGATCTTAACACGTTGTTTTCTTTTTAGAGATTTTGTTTTTGGGTTTTATCACAATTTCCTCACGACCTGATTCCTGTAAAATTACGACACCGCACTTGATGAAGTGAATAAATAAAACCGGTTGCCTAATCTCTCTCGCAGTTAAAAGAAGTCCTAAGGTTTGTTACGCATGAAACGAAAGTGAAACTCCTGAGAGTGAGAGTACAAACAGAGCAGGAGAGTCAGGAAACGAGAGAGAGATCAATCCTCAGACTGAGGAGCATCGAAGCTGCAGAGCAGGGTGAGATTCTCCAAACTTTATTAAGCTCTTTGTGACGTTTACTGTGAAAGTTAAATGAAGAATCGGGAGACAGCTTGTCCTTGTTCAGTTAGTTTGATAAAAACTATTCAGGCTGTGTCCAGCTTCAGAATGAACTCATGTTAAACATCACTCATCCTGCAGCTGCTGCTGTAAAAAATAAACACAGAACTAAGTGTAGTGTTTGACTGTGATTGGCTAGAAAACACAGGATGTGTTAATAAATATAATTCTTCAAAATGTAATTTCCCGGCTGTCAGGACGAAAAACATCCTGTTTGCTGTTGTTATTATTTTTGCTTTTTTCCTGGTTAATTAAAAAGTGTGATTAACTATTTTTTTCTTCTATTAAATCTTTATCATATCTCTTTGTTGTCTTCATGATACTATAATACAACATTCATTTAACTTTAGTTTTAACTTGTTAAGCACCTTGTGTTTCATATATAAAGTTTATCATTGATTCCACAGCTAAAGTTTATTTACTGAAAGAATCCTGTGATACTGAGATTCTACACACACACACACACACACACACACACACACACACACACACACACACTGGGATAACTTTTGATAGTTACAGTCAGTGCCACTAAAGGGCGACAAAGCACCATCTGACCCGAGTCAACACAGGTAAGACAAATCAAGGAAATGAAAGTAAAAGTGAAAAAGCAGCAAAAGCTGTGTGGGACTTTGAAAAAGACGACGTCCTGTAAAGTGGAACAGAGAAAAATATTTCAGTAAAATCAAAGTGTTTAAGTGGAGAATCTTCTGTCTGACACAATTATGTATAATTACATTTTTCAAACACGACGTTGATAAACCAGTAACAGCTTACATGACGACCACACCCACAATAACATATACAATCTCCACTACAGATTTTATTTAAGAACAAATGAAAACACTAACACATATTAGTATCCAGGGAAATAGAGAGAGGGAAGAATATTTAATGAAAACTTGCCGAACAGCACGTTCGATTCAGTTCCAGAATAAATCACAAATGTCTTCAACAGATCCTGGACACGTTCGACATGAGCCTCCAGGTTTGTGGGTGTGGTTGGTCCAAAGTGACGACCTATCAGGGCCTGAGAACCCACCAGGGGAAGATGGGATGCACGGTGAAGGGAATGAGGATCCCGGAGAGCAAAGGATTCAGGGCAGACAGTTACTTTCCTCAAATCACCTTCATGGGACCTCGGATCCAACTGAAGGAGCCTGTGATGGACGTCTTCACCTCCTCTCTGACGTCTGGTGAGGGGTTCTCAGGAAACGTATTTCAATATCTATTTGCTGCAAAAAAAGGTCAAATGTGTGAAGTCAAAGTACTGACGGTAATAATACTCAGCATGGAAACTGAATCAAGTACTTTCCCAAATATTTCATATATATAAGATTCAGCTTCAAAATACGTTTTTGAAAAGGAACAAAAAGACCATTTTTTTTATTTCAGGGACAACCCACCATGCTTATATTTTTAATATCTAAATAAATTCTTCCATATTGTCTCAAACAGGCGACTCGGACATGAGCCTCCAGGTTTGTGGGTGTGGTTGGTCCAAAGTGACGACCTATCAGGGCCTGAGAATCCACCAGGGGAAGATGGGATGCACGGTGAAGGGAATGAGGATCCCAGAGAGCAAAGGATTCAGGGCAGACCGTTACTTTCCTCAAATCACCTTCACGGGACCTCCGATCGAACTGAAGGAGCCTGTGATGGATGTCTTCACCTCCTCTCTGGCGTCTGGTGAGTGGTTCTGTACAAATCGTGTCGACAAAAAAGGTCAAATGTGCTAAATTAAAGTTACGACACAGAAAACAACATGGAGACAGAATATCGAACATGTAAAAGATGTATTTTCAGGTTAAAAATCCAATTTGAAAAGGGAATAAAGACCAAACGTGATCATTTTATTCTTCCACATTGTCTCAAACAGACGACTCGGACTTGAGCCTCCAGGTTTGTGGGTGTGGTTGGTCCAAAGCGACGACCTATCAGGGCCTGAGAACCCACCAGAGGAAGATGGGATGCACAGCGGAGGCCAGAGGTCTGCAGACAGAGTATTATCAGAGGAACGGAGGACCAGGTTACAGCACTCCAGTCAAGACGGAGGTGCAGTAAAACAAGAGATCATATTAGTGGGACAGAGTATTCGGGCCTGGTGAAGAAAATTCTCAGATTTCGTGAATCACTTGTGATATTACGACTTGATTAGGATGTGGACATATGGATATGACTAATCAAGTTATTATAGTCTAAGCAGTGTTTATACGTAGGTAAAGGGTCATGAGTTACTGATTTTAAGTAAACGTGAAGTTTAGATTTATAAAATAGAAAGATAGATAATCTCATCTTCCACTTCTCTAGAATGTGTCTCCAAAGCTCTACAACCAAATGACCCCTGATCTGACAGCAGCCACTGAGGCCGTGAGAGAGATGATGAAATCAAGTACGTGCTCTGTGTTCAAATATTTATACTGACAGAACTGCAGTTTGTTCATTATAAGAAACACAAACAGCTCAGTTTAACAGCCCTCCTCTTTTTTCTTCTCAGTGGTTGTGAATCAGCAACAGTCTGCACAGACGGGCTCAAACATGGACAAAGCTCATCGAGCGTTAGAGTTCAGCTCCGGTGCACAGGTGCAGTAAATGTCCTACACTTCACTCAACACTAGAATGACGCTCCCTCATGAAAAATATGGAAAGAACATTATTCATAATGTAAAAGAAAGTAAATAAGAATTCAAACCTTTGAGTATGAGAAGTTTGTAAAGGTCTTTGGACTGAACATGTTCAAATCTTTCACTCTTTTCTCAGCCTCTCTTCGGGCGATCGCCGCAGACGCCCACCGGCCACATTTATCCTGCAGCGGCCGACGTCACCGCGAACGAGCCAAACGAGCCACGTACGAGCTTTGTCATTATTCGCACAAACGCAGTCACATTAAAACATATTTTTCTGACCCTGAGCGTCTCTCCACAGTTTTCCAGACTCCCGTGCATCATCGTCTTCAAACCGTCCCCAACACGGACAAAGCTCGTCGAGCGCTTGATTTCTCCACCGGCGCAGAGCAGGTGCAGGCACAGACACTCGACCCGTTCAGACTTCACGCTGGGGAGCAACTCCATCCTGTGGATCAGGTCGTAAGTATAAAGAGTTGGATTTCACCAACAGATGCAGCGGGAACAGATTTTTATCACATCACCGGAATGTTTTTGTCCTTTCAGACGGAGCAAGTGTTCCGGGCGCCTCCGACGACCACAGTCAGTCCAAGAGAGGACGAGGAGGAGAAAGAGAGGGAGGCTGAAAAACTGCGCGTAAAGGTACTTCACTTCTACTCACACAGAAAACAGGTTGTTGGTCTAAAAATTTCTATCGTGGAATTTGGCACAGACGCCACATGGTCCCCAGAGGATGAACCCTTTTTTTAAATTGGGGGCATGTGTGAAATATGGGGGAAAAGAACGTTTACAGTAAGTTTGTAATTTAATGAGAAGTTAAAGTCATAATATCACAAGAATAAAGTCGTGAGTCATGATTTTGGTAACACGGCTTCAATCATGATATTATGACTTGAGTTTAAAAGTGGTTAAAATGTGATGAAACATTATGATTGACAGCTGAGACCGGCTCCGAATCACCAGCACAAGATGGCCGCACCGTGTTTGGGATATTTTGGCTTCGTTTTCATGCAGCGAGAGGAAGTGGAGACACGTCGTCCATCTTTCTCGTCTATGCTTCTGTTACACTTTGTTTCTTTTTTCGTTTCCTTTATTCAAGAAAAAGCAAGACAATACGAGGGCGGAGCTGCAGCAGAAAATTAAAATCAGGGAACTCAAGATGGCGGAAGTGAGATTATCTGTGAAAGGCTTCAAGGTAAACTGCAGCAGAATTCACTTTTTTAAAAATGGTTTCAGTCCATGATATGGTTTTAACATCTCTGCTGTCCATCGTCAGGTTAGCTTGGACAGCGAGTGGCTGGAGATCCACAACGTCTTCTCCGAGGTGATGAAAGTCGTGGAGGACGCTCTACAAAAAGCTCTGCGTCCCCTGGAGGAGAGGTCGGTTCTACGCGGCTCACGGTGACGTGTAGTCCGACGTTATTATTATTCTATCGGTGTAACGTTCTGTATTTCACCTTAAAGGAGACGAAACATAAAGAGAGAAGCAAAACATCTGCTTCAGAGGCTGGACGGAGAAATTGACAAACTCAAGGCGACCATCGCTGAGTTGGATGGAAACCCGGACTTGAAGGTGAGTCGAGGATTGGACGTCCAGAGTCACGACAGCAGATTATTGTTCTACGTCTCCATGACGCTGATTTTAAACTGACGCTGTGAGACTCCCCCTCACACAGATCTCTCTGGATGAACCCACGTTTTGGAACAATACCAGTGTTGATACTTCGTTCTCCTTCGGTACCTTCAGAAGTACAACGTCAGCCATGATGGAGCAAATTCAGCTGCAAATAGAAAAACTCTCCTCTGTCGGTGAGTGCTTGGTTGTTTATCCAGGTTTATGTTTCATCGAATGATCTGTGTGACTCTAACGGCGTTTATGTTTCCACAGAACTCAAGAGAATTCCCACATTTGCAGGTGCGTGTGTCAGTTTTTATAAATATATGCTCACATGTGGTTCGCGTGTCTATTCAATTGTCTGTTTTAAAAATACTTCTAATTTACTCATTTTAAATTTGACTTTTTTTCCAATTCTCAATCTTTTAAATGTTGAATAGGAAACAGAGAAATAAAAAATCTGATATTTTAATTTCATCAGACATTATAATTTATATATATATATTATCTAAACCCTGAATCTGAATAATAAAATCATCATCTATTTAGGTGTTTGGCTCCCAACCCATCTGATTGGCTGGCTGATTGTCCCGCCCACACAATGTACATGTACCACAAAAACTTTTTTATACTTTTACTGTGCAACTATGAGAAAATACAACAATCTCTGAACAACTGAAATCACATTCACCAGCTTATAAACGTAAAAATGATCCAGAAAATAATTGTAAATTAAAAAGATAATATTTAGAATTGTGGTATTTGTACTTCTGCAGCCTGCGTGTTTTCAGAGGATGTTTCCTGCTGCACAATGTATCAACCACAGACGCTAGATGTTTTTTAAAGAACCGAGTGAGATGGAAACTTCTCACACAACTTCCTTTGTTAATAACACCCACCTCCTCACCTCCAACACATTTTAATTTCAGTGGAACCACAATTATCATGCAGCAGCAAAGAAATGAGCTTTCACATGAAGTTTAAAGAAGAAAAGAAAAATCTATTTGTGAATTCAGTTAACCATCTCCTTTAAGTCTAAATGTCTCTTTTCGTCTATTTCTCCGAGTTCATTTTTGCAGAAAAATATGAAAAACTTGTTTTCACTTTGCTGTGACGACTGATAACCAGTATTTCTTGTGGGAGGTCAGACGCTGTGGTTTGAAACTTCTGAAAATATCTGTGAACTTTTTTAAACAAGGAGACGATTCCATTTATGCACCAGATCATCAGCAAATGATCTGTACCCAACTGTAAAAGTTGATTCTTTGATGCTTTTATTTTCTAAAGTAAATCACCCTTTGAAACCTCTGATGTGAAATGCATCATGATTCTATGTCCATTATTCTGTCGTATTCTTCTGCAGTGGATGTGAAGCTGGACCCAGCTACAGCGCATCACTCCCTCTCTCTCTCCAACGATGGGAAGAAGGTGCGAGACGGAGGAAAGAACCAGACAGTTCCCGACGCTCCGCAGAGGTTTGATATGTTCGGCAGCATCCTGGGGCTCAACAGCTTGACCTCCGGCAGGTCGTACTGGGAGGTGGAGGTCGGCCGCAAGACCGGTTGGGACCTGGGCGTGGCCAGAGGGGACGCAAACCGCAAGGGGATGCTCTCGCTGAGCCCCGACAACGGCTACTGGGCGACTGTGCATTACGAGGACAAAGGTTACGCAGCCCTGACCGCTCCACCCGTCAGCCTGTCGCTGAGTGAGAAGCCTCAGAAGGTGGGGGTGTTCGTGGATTACGAGGAAGGCCTCGTGTCCTTCTACGACACGAAGGCTCGGTCTCACATTTACTCGTTCACCGACTGTTCGTTCGGCGGCGAGATCTTCCCGTATTTTAGTCCACATCTCGAACAAAATGGTCAAAACTCAGCTCCTCTGATCATCTCGTCTGTAGAAAGGCCGTAATTGAAATGTGTGTCGGTTACAATGATCAGAGACACAAATGAAGATGGACAACACGTCTTTACTTCCTCCTGTTGTACAAATATGCTTCATATCGTTTAAACAATATATCGATTTTGGAAGTTTTGATTGTCTTTCAGTGTAAACTCTATATTTCATGAATCATGTTACATGAAGAGGGTTTAAATGACCGGAGGCTTTTTTCTATGTCTATTTGTGGTGTTAGTTTACAACAAATAAAACTTTATTTGACGTTACATTTGTTGTACCTGACAATCCTGCTCGCACACACCAGCTTATATTAACTGGATGTTTTGCAGCTAACGTGCATCATTTAAAGTGTTTTATCATCTTCTCGCACCGTGACAGAGACAAGAGATGCAACTTGTGGCCTCACACAAACCATATAAGTCCACGTACACACTGACCTCATGTCTGCATCTGCACACTGACTACAGACATATAGGGTAAGAAGCAACTTTGCTGCATCTGCATTGGTTGTCAAACTCTTTGCTCTGTGGTAAAACGAGTGGTCGCCAAGAGGTTTATAAAGAGGAACGATCAGATGAGGTTGATCCTGTCCAGATGAACTCAGCTGCAGAGAAAGGTGAGAAAAAATCTCTCCACTTTAAATTTACATCTTCACCCTCTCATTTACTTGACTCTATTTATTTAACGCTCCAGTGAGTAAGATTCAGGTGAGAGGATCCATTGGCAGAAATTAAATGTAGAATAATCCTCATGATGTTTTCACTAGTTCGTTTCATCTAAATTGTATGAATTGTAGTTTTCTTTACCCCAGAAAAGACGCTTTATATTGAAATACTTTATATTTAAATACTAACCCTAACCCTATATTTACATCAAGGGGACCCTCTCTACGGAGGCCACCATGTTTTTTACATTAGTCCAGACT